CCGCCCCCCCCCCCCCCCCCCCCTGCTGGAGACCAAGTGACATACCACAGCCAGAGTGGAGGGGGGAGAGAGGCGAGTGCTGACTGCCACAGGATTGTGGATCCGGTGAGTATATCTTCTTAATTTAGCCCCTAGAGCAAAACAAGCAGTTAACCCTCGCAGTGCAGGGTTGCCTCACTTGAAGGGTTAATTTTGACACTTCCTGGAGTTCTTTATTAAGCATTTTAGGTTTTTTTTTTTTTTATCTATCTAGTGCACCGTCCACCCTAACTTCCTGTTGTCCGTTTATTGCTGATCTGAGGACCACATTCTGTTACTTTTGTGTTTTTTTTTTTTTTTTTTTTTTTTTTTTTTTTTTTTTTTTTTTTTTTTTTGTTTTTTTTATGCAGGTATATGTATTCCTAAACACAACCACTGCAGCCTCCTTTGTGTTCTGACCTATCAAAGCATCAGTTGGAATCAGACCTGCTTTGTGACATTGAATTTGATTGGTGGTGTATGAAGCAGAGGGTGAACGTTATACAGCTCAGGTTTAGGATGTGAATTTGGCCCCATTCAGGCCTGTGCGTTCTGTTGCAGTGCCATTCATTTTGCACCCACAACGCACAGAAGTGCTGTACTCAAACATTGCTAGGCAATCACATTTTCAGGAGACCAGCAGTAACAGCCCTGATCCTTCTCATGACAGGTACACTTTAATTCCCCACTGGAGCTAATAAGACACAATCCATAAGATAACCGGGTGAGAATGTAATTGGTGTACTACACCGCAGAGAAAGGAGGGGGGGAAAAAAAAGTGCCACAGCATTGTGCAGGAGTCCACAAATATGGAATGTATTTCTATAAAAGGCCAACGCATTTAGGCAGCTGAGCCTTGCCCCCTTCATCAGGGCTTGTGGTTTTAACCCATTAGTGGGAATCTGCATCCAGCATTCCATCTGTGGTTAACAGGCAAGCTCAGCAGCAGCATGTGGTCACTGCAGGTTTGTCTTTTTAACCACAAAAAGGAAAAGGAACCCTTCTGATCTGAGAGATCTGGAGCAGTTGGCGAAAGACAAATAATTCATGTAGAGAGGTGTAAGAAACTCATTGATGGAAAAAAATTACTGAAATCAATTGCTTCCTGTAACCAAGCTCCCAAATATTAATTGAGGGTGCCAATAATTTTGTCCAGTCCATTTTTTGAGTGTTTTTTCTTTCACTTTTCTGTGTCATAACAATACAAACAAAAAGAGACAAACATGAGAATGCCGAAACGTTTGTAATTGCAACAATTTTCTGCGCAATGTGCTGCATTATCTGACAGAAATGCAGGGGTGCCAATATTTTTGGCCATGAGTGTATATACAAGTTAAGTGTCGGACCATATTCAGCATATCCTGCCCAGGTTGCCAACTGGGTTTTCTTGTCTACGCTCTAGTACGTCTTCACTTCCTGAGGAATAACTTCTAGCAGTACTTGTAGTTTCAGCATCAACAAATCTAGGAAGTGGGGAAAAAAAAAAATACTCCATCAGCTGCAAACTTTGTCAGCTCAAGGTGTCTCTTGAAACAGCATGTTATGCCTTGACAATCATATTTTTTTTTTTATTGCGCAAATGCCAGAGCTTGCTTATTTTGGCTGTGGTTAAGTGCCAACTTGGAGTCAAAAGACATATAACCAGAACAGCACATCTTTCAATTCTGGCTTAAATGGCCTTCAAGAGAAGATTGGGAGGAAGCACTAGCAGATAACCAGTGCATAAAGAACTCAGTGACTGCACACAGTCATTGGTTGTTAGCATGACCATATGTGGTCAATGACATCACTGGGAATTCCCTGGCGGCTTTGTTTATAAAAAAAATATTCTCACTTTTGCTGGAGTACATTGTATAGCTACTCCGCTTCACCTGTATGTTTAAGTCATCCCACAAGCATGTTATTTAAAGGAATTGTGTATTTTGACCTTTTAGATGTGCCTGTGATGGGATACCCTGTTTGTCCACATAGAAAGACTAGGGACAGACCGGGTCGGATTAACTCTCTCTCTGCTGCCCCAAGTCCAGGTTCCTCAATGGGCCCCCCTCCTCCCAAAAAAACCCCAATGGAGAATAGGAACCAGATGGTGGGGGCAGCAGAGTTGGTTTAATTTTTTTTACATTTTTTTTTTCTTTTATTTTTTTTCCTTTTTTACATTCATACTTTTTATAATTTGGTTTTTATTTTTACTGCAATTTCTTATTTTACTTTTATTTTTTTAAATTATTTTTCACTTAGCAATAAAATTATCACATAGGAACTAACAAGCCCCTGGGGGATGGCATTTCGAGGTGACAGGTTCTCTTTATTGAATTTATTACCTCCAATACAGGAGTTCTAGTATAGCCGTGTACTGTGCTGACTCTACTGTGACAGCTGAGATGGGAAGGCTGCGAGTGCAGCTCTCCCGTCTCCGTGTTTACACGAAGCAGAGCGGAGCGCTAACTTTCTCCGCTCTGCTCCACGCTCTGCATCCTGCATGAATATGCTGTGGTCCTGGGTCCTCCAGGGAAGCGGGTAGGCTGAAAATCATGGTGAGAAGGGAGGCGGGGAGAGGCAGCCAGGTCAGGTGGGGGCAGACCATGGAGGGGTGGCGGTACGGAGCTGAAGGCATAGCACAAGTGCTCTTGGTGAGATCCCCGGGATCACTTGTACTAAAACACAGGCTTCCCCGCTCTACATTTAGCCCTGCTTGCTCAAAGCAGGGCTAAATGTAGATTTAAAAAAAAACAAAAAACTACAAGCCCGACGGCTGTATCGCCCCTCTACTCCCTACTGCCCTGAGGCCAGGGCTTGGTGGGAAATCTGACCCTGGGGCCAGACTGAGCGTCCTCTTTGTGATATATACAATGCTTCTAGATCTTTAACCCTCTGTTCACATCTAGTTTACAACTTATGAGATCTGCCAGCACATTACAGACATGGTTCATTATGTTAACATTAACCTGCGCCCTCCCCCCCATGCATTCCAGAGCAAAATTCCCTACAGAAAACAGCGTTTCTTTCAGAATGGAGCATCTATTGTGCAAGTAACAATTAAAAAAAAAAATGTACAAAGTTATTTAAATAACACGTAACAAATATAAAATAGGTGTAATCCTAATTTGGATACAGAAGTGGAAATACACTTTAAGTGAATTACTTACTGAAGGGAACTCTGCACCGCTGGGGCAATCTTTGCTTGTGGACAATGAGGTAATAGACGGGTAACCCGGTCAGAGTGATAAAACAACCGATACCTGTATTCACTGGATCCGAGTACAGAGACATTGACACAATGAACAGGCACATTGTGCTGAACACAATGGGAAAGATCAAGGGAACCTGGAAGAGAGAAGACTTTTGTGTCAGGGACAAGATCATCTTTTCATAAACTTATTTTTGTACTTTCATAATTTGAAGCGAAAAAGGAAGTGTGTTCAGTAATATAATAGTGTGTACACACACCCACTTCCTGACCCATCAAGGCATAGGCTCCACTAGAGCCCTGAAGGTATGCTGTGGTATCTGGCACCAAGCGACCCCCACACAGCCTCCTGAGACCTTGTTACAGCCCTGGCGAGACCCTACACAGCCCTGGTGAACAACAGAGTGTGTAGCTTCATATTATTCTAAATTGCTGTAACATGGATTACTGGGATTTGTAGTCCTCTATAGCTGATGGTATTCTGCATTGCTGTATAATGTTTTGTTGGGATTTGTAGTCCTCTATTGCTGGTGGTATTCTGCATTGCTGTATAATGTGTTGCTGGGATTTGTAGTCATCTATAGCTGATGGTATTCTGCATTGCTGTATAATGTTTTGTTGGGATTTGTAGTCCTCTATTGCTGATGGTATTCTGCATTGCTGTATAATGGATTGCTGGGATTTGTAGTCCTCTGTAGCTGAAGCCATTCTGCATTGCTGTATCATGGATTGCTGGGATTTGTAGTCCCTATACTGCTTGAAGTCAGTGGCAGAATGACCAGGGTTGCAGCTGCGACCTGGCTCTGGTGCTCCACCACTGTCCTAAAATCATTAGTCTGTATTGTTTTAGAAAAACTGTCACATGATGCAAAAAAAAAAAAGTTATAGGTAATTGGTACCGGTGAGCACTTGAGGAAAAGTATCGGCACTTGTACTTGTTCTGGGAAAATGGTATTGGTGCATCCCTGATTTGTAGAACACAACAAGTTTTTTGAAGTGTTGACTTGGCCTCCAAATCCTCCAGATCTCACTCCAATTAAGCATCTGTGGGATGTGCTGGAAAAACAAGTCTGATCCATGGAGGCCCCACCTCACAACTCACAGGACCTAAAGCATCTGGTACTGACAGCTTGGTACACTCTTGCGTAGAGGATTGTGGGGGACAGCACATGCTGTTGTTTAATCATACAGCCAATGACGTAAAGAGAATGTAAGGTCTTTGCCAGTATTTCATAAAGGACATCAGCTTGATGTGACTAAACTTATCAATGTTAAAGCTGAACTCCGGCCTTCAGTCTTATACTGTTGTACCGGCTCCTCTCCTGGATGGAACTCACATAATCAGATTTCACAGCACACTGTGAGCTTCTCTCTGTGTGCATTAGAAGCTGCAGCAAGTTAGATAAAACCCTTTCCATCTCCTGGTAGGAAAAGATTATGGGGTTGATTTATAAAACTTTCACTCAGCCACATGATGGGCAAATGCCGTTTGCGTGGCATTCCCACCATTAGATGGAGCAGAGGAGCAAAGAAAAATGCCAATGAACAGAAACTTTCTGTGGGCTGAGCAGGAAGTGGAGATAAGCTGTAAAAAATATTGGACTCCTGTTTACAATTTTAGAGAGGAATCACTTATACCAAACAACTACTATCGTCAGCTACAACAGTGGTTCTCAACCTGTGTAATTTCAGGACCCACATTTGTCCTTGATCATTAAGTCGCACTGCAATGGAACGCATGGCTTTGCAGTACCGCATGTTCCAGTGCGGGGGAGGTGCGTTTGGGGTGTCATTCAAATGAATGGCAACGCATCTCCTGCATCAGAATGCATACTAGGGGCAATTATGTGGTACAGTGCACAGGACTGTTCGATTAACGCATTGTACTAGTGTGACCGGGCCCTCAAACACACACACACACACACACACACACACTAAAAGAAAAAACAAATTACATTTTTTTGAAGATCCTCCCAGTCTCCCTACCTTACGAAAACTAGAGAGGATCCTCAGCCTGGGGTCCAGCGTGGGCTGCTGTGCTGTGATGGAGCTCCAGCCATACATGCATTGCTTGTACAGCTCCCTTGTGTGCCCTGCAGAGGTGCCGGGAGCCAGAACGTGACGTCACTCTGGTCCAGGCACCTCTACAGGGCACGTGAGGGAGCTGTAAGCAATGCATGTGTTGATGGAGCTGCCTTGTGGCCATACCTCCATCCCACCCCACCTCACCTCAAGTTGACACTCGGCGCCAGGCAGCATATTTTGAATGGCTGCTTGGCGCAAGAACTGCCAGTGCTGCGCTAGCGGGAGGCTGAGAAGACTCTCACCTAGAAAAGTGGAAGGCATGCGACGACCCACTGACCATGGGGTGGTGACCCACCAGTTGAGAACCAAGGAGCTACAAAATATATATTTTTTTCTTCCTGAGGGTTTACGTACACTATAAGCAGGGAGTTTGAATGAAGCTTAGTCCAATACACAGCCCCATCTAGTGGCTAATCTTCAAATCTCTATATTTAATGCAATACCAAAACTATGATAGATCACGCATTTAAAAATGTCAAAATCGTATAACAATTAAGTAAACACCACAATAATGACACAAAATAAGTGACATGGGAGATAGGACCTGAAATCGCCCCCCCTAAAATATTTGGAACTACATTTGTTTTCATCCTAATCATCAACACTCCATAGACCACATCTTATCACCTTAAACGGTCGGGGGAGTTCTGGGTATTTTCGGCGATGGAGAATCAGACCGATAGTTACCAATCCCATGAAAAGCCATCGAGAAAAGCTATAAAAGTTCAACAGGCCATAAATGTCACCAATTCCGATCATTAGGAAGACCAAGGGCATCTAGGGTAGAAGAACACGTGTTAGTGAAGCATTAGAGTTTTCCTTTCACTGCCACATACTAAAGTAAAAAGATGAAAGTAAGAACCATAACAGACCGGAAGTAGAAGCAAACTTACCATTAATAACAAAGCAGGAAGTGGCGTGTGCCTTCTAATATGGATCATGGAGAACAAAGGTGGCCAGTGACCTTCTCTGGAAGCAACAAACAGCATCCTAGATGAGATGGATAGATCACATTGGTGAGCTGCATTCCGTATACACCACCCCACAGACTATGAAGATGATACAACTTACACTACCTAGAAGAGGCGAAGATTCCCCCATTCAGAGCTCCGAAACACGACATTGCCACCAGTATGGAGATCACCCAGGAGCCTTGTTTCAGGGTGCGCTCAGCAAAGGACTTGCATGGTATGTTAAACAGGAAAAGAAGGCAGATGAGTTTAAGCTGACCTTTCAGTAACTTTACTAGTCTGCAGGAATAAAATACACAACAACAGAATCATTTTTCAGAAAAGCAGCCCCGGAGCTCCGGTCTGCTGCAGGCAGGGGGAAGCATTTCCTCAGTCTCCTCTCCTCCAGTAATCAGACTGCAACATTGTCATTTTGTAGCAAGTCCCAAGGTGAGCGGCTGCAGCAGTGACTGTGTCAGACATTTGTGAAAACAGCCAAGAACTGCGCAGGCACCAGGCTTTACATGATTAGGTCATCTCTGAGCTGGTATCTCAGTCCAGCAAATAGATGGTGACACTGGATGATGCCAAAACAAAGATGGCTCTGACTACTGTTGCACAGTTGTTGCTTTATTTGTAAGAAAGCTAAACAGATTTCGCTTCAATGCCCCCAAACACATGCAACCTGGGAGTATGCTTCCATCAGAGCAGGTCCAGATTAACATAGGGGCTACTAGAGCACAAGCTCCAGGCCCACCACTAAAAATAGGCCTGGCTGGCCCGGGTTGCCCCTGTATGTCAGATGGCAATCTGGGCCGGCCAAGCTCAACACAATCAGGCAGAAGCGGCATCGGCACTCTCATTAGGCGGCTGCTCGCTGGGTCCTTGGGCGGCCCCAGCTAGGAGCAAGTGGCCGCCTAATTAGAGAGCTGCCTCTGCTGCTTCCTGTCTGGCCAACTGACAGCACCAGACCCATGATGCTCTTAATCCAGCCCTGCATCAGAGGCTTCAAAGATAAGTGATTTCCGCCATGATCCCCTTTTAGTGCTACAGAGCAACCTATACAGTCTTCCCCTCCGGGACCACCCAGTCAATGTTTGCCTGATGAAGAGTACTGGGCCAAATGGTTTAGTATACTCAGCCGAAGGAAGTCAGCAGTGGAACCATACAGGTTCAGAGACTGGCCGTTAATTGTGTTGTCACCTGCAGAGTGTATCAAGGCCACCACAATGAGCAGGAATGCTGAGGATCTGAGCAAAACCTTGACACCATTCAAGTGCAACTGAAGCCAAACTTCTTTTTTTTTTTTTTTAAGTTTTGGACAGAGAGGGATTCGAACATCTGTCACATTTTATTGTTGTCTGTGTCCCCGTCAGGGAGAGTCACCCTCTCTATTGGTCCAGGTGACAGGAAAGGGGAAGAAAATCACACATTTTGGTTTGCACCAGAATAGGAATAGATTGGGAATCTTCCAATGGGGATAGTAGTTCTAGTGACCCTGCTGACCACCAGGGATTTCCCACACTTTGTAGGGATTTCCTCTCACTTCGTAGGGATTTCCCACACTTTGGAGGGATTTCCTCTCACTTCCTGTTGTGGCTATTGGACAGGAAGTGAGGGAAATCTCCCCAATGGCACACAATTGGCAAACGGACAGGGGTTATAGGCATCAGTCTATCCAAAATGTAAAAAGTACGTTTTGGCTTCAGTTCTAATTTAAGGCAACTAACTGTATCTACCCTAGCAATGTGCCATCGCAGGTTCGCTAACCTACCTCTGCAAAGGTAAAATCATTACTCACCATGGCGACGGCTTCGGACGTCAGCACTTCACTGGCAGTGAGGATAGTGTAGTAGGCCACATTGGTGAGAAGGTAGCAGACGGTGACTATGACCAGTGACACTATGACAGTTATGGGGATATTCCTGGAAAACACACCGGGGCTGCTCAGGCATTGCACATGGAGATGAATATTGCATTATACAAGTCGTCTTGGTGAATCATTATGTGTGATATCTTCTTGTAGAGACAAATATATATCAATAAGTAGAATCATTAGATAACTTCTATGCATCTACAGGCTTTGAATGTATCAGTTGTGTCCAAGGACAAAAGCTCAGCTTTCCATATTTATATCATACAGACATATTATAAAGTTCTTTACAGAGTACTGAGAACCGTCTTCATCAGTCCCTGCTATGGAGGAGCTTACAATCTAATGCCCCACACTACAGTCATGTGGAAATACGCTGGGGCTGGTTTGGGTGGCTGTCAATGAATGTATGGGGTGCACAGGGACAGTATGGATGTTGGAGGTAGAGCGGGTCCTTGTCTGGAGGGACCCCCTGTGGCTGCTTTACCCATGAAGGGATTCTGGTCCCCTCAAAGTCTGATAGTTGCATCAGTGAGTGATGAACACTAAGTGAAAGTTCTTGGAAACGCTTTAATTAGGAATTGTGTGCACAAAGATTTAACCTATACGTTTAGGGGTTAATCCTCATCTTGCAGCTTTAGCTCTGTGGTTTGTAGAGCCAGACTGGGGTGCCTTGGACAAAGCTGAGCTCTTTGTTCTCTGAACATTCTTAATAATAAAGCGATCAGAAGTTTCCTAGGATCGTTCGAATTGCATTGTGATTTTACTTAAAATGTATGAAAATTAAAAAAATAAAATTGGGGAAGAATGTACAATGTTTATGCAGATCGTGTCCCTGGTAGGAAGTGAACCTGAGACCACAGTTCTGCAAGGCAAGAGTGCTGACTACTGCTGTTTGGTCCCGCAAAGAGAAAGTAGCTGTACTATTGTCTACAGAATGCTCACACAGACACAACAGCCTCTACATTTCCCATACAGCAACAAGCAAAATGTATCAATGGATACTTCAAGAGCCAGTAGAGGTGGTAAATACTATACAGAGCTTGATTATGCCGCTGCCTGCCGTGTAATGGAACTAGATGTGCCAGTTTATTACACACACAAGAAAAAAGTAGACAACTTACCTCTCTGGGTTTACTATTACTTCAGTAACGAAAGTAACATAAAACCTGGAATTAAAATCAAACAAGAATCAGCTGACACGGGATAATGAATGGCTTCTGTGTCCACAGATTGTAAGGAAAACTCCATTTCCATAAAAACAACCTATTCTGTGCACGTTAAAACAAAATGCTCTTATCCTTTAGGCCCCTTTAAGGTGACATCACTGCTCCCTCCATCCCGGTGCAGGGAGGAATCCCCACAGAGTTCGGTCTGTCCCGGCCCACGTTGTTTGTTTTCATCCTGCGGTGAATGTCTTCTTCTCCCGGCCTCACCTGCGCAGTACAACCCCATTGACTTCTATGGGGATCATCCCCAGCCAGGAGCAGGAGATAGATGAGCCCCATAGAAGTCAATGGGAAAGTACTGTGCAGGTGAGGCCTGGAGAGGCAGAGGGGATATTAACAAACAACAGAGACTGGGCCGTCTGAACTCGGTAAGTATTCATCTATGCAGGAGGAGGGAGGGAGCAGTGAGGTCACCTTAAGGGTGGGTTCACACTTGGGCGATTTGCGGCCAACGAAACTTGCGGCAAACGCGCGTTTACGAGGGCTATCCAGCTGTATCCTAATGGATACGCGCGGAAAATACGCCCCAAAGAAGCTCCTGCCCTTCTTTGGGCGTAGGGTGTTTTTCAGTGCGTTCCTACATGCTGAAATACGACCAGGTGGGAACCATGCCCATAGAAAATAATGGGGTTTCACTTGCTGGGCGTTTTACAGCACGTCGATCAGCGCTGTATGTCTGCCCAGGTGTGAACCCGGCCTAAAGGAGTCTAAAGGAAAAGTGCACATTGTTTTAAAATGTAATATATTACAGCTTACGAGTCCATAGACGTGGTTGCTGCATTTGTTTTATTTATTTTGGGCTAAGAAGATTTTCAGCAAGTACAGAAAATACCTGTTCCTCTTGGCAGACATACAGTGTCCTTGTCACTTCCTGTCAGCTGAAAAGAAAGCTCAAACAACCTTATTTATATTGCGTAAACTACTAATCACTTCACATTCTAGTACCTCTATGACAAGTATGGCTACCCATATACAATGGAGAAGTAAGTGTAGCCATAAAGGGACAGAAAGTGTGTTATCTGCAGGATCACCAGGTGAAAATTAAGAAATAAAGCCTGAAAAAAAGAAAACTAATGCAACCACCACCTCTAAGGACTCGTAAGCTGCAATATATTACATTTTTGTTTTGGTGTTTGCATAAGCTTGACTTAAAGGAGAACTATGGGGTTAAGGCTTTTCCCCATAGTTCTCCTTAGGGTAACGGGAGGACACAAACTAGTGTCCTCCCGTCACCCTAGGCTCAGTATACCGCGAGCTGTAGCTCGCGGTATACTGAGACGCAGCAGTATACCGCGAGCTGCTGCTCGCGGTATACTGAGAAGCCGCAGCTGAAGCGGATCCGGACAATTATGTCTGTATCCGCCCAGCTGCGTGACTGACAGCTGGCTCTGCCTATCTAGAGGCAGAATCAGCTGTACCCGCCCCCTCCCGTTCCGCCAGTCAGTGCTGGAGGATCGGAGCGGGGAGGGGGGAATCCAGCCCCTCCCCTGTCACGGCAGAGAGCCGTGACAGGATCGAGAGGTGAGTGAACGCCAGTATATATGTTCGCTCACCTCCCGATCTACTGAGCCGACCTGTGACAGTCTCATTGTCACAGGTCAGCTAGAACTATGAGGTGAGTGAAAAGCACTCACCTCATAGTTCTCCTTTAAGAAAGTCAAATCAATGTACCTTACTTGGGGTACTGAGCAGGTAGGCTGTGCTCCCTCTTTGCAAGGTTGGATTGTACCTTGAAGAGACCTTAGATTCCAAGCATCCAGACACCAGTGACATCACTCATTAAAATCAACTTTATTAAATTCCAGCTGTAGTGCACAGTCCCACCTCTGGTCCGCCGCACAGTCCCACCTCTGGTCCACGCACAGTCCCACCTCTGGTCCGCCGCACAGTCCCACCTCTGGTCCACGCACAGTCCCACCTCTGGTCCGCCGCACAGTCCCACCTCTGGTCCACGCACAGTCCCACCTCTGGTCCGCCGCACAGTCCCACCTCTGGTCCGCATTAGAGTGGCATGGACCAGAGGTGGGACTGTGCGGCACATTTGGAGTTCAATACATTTGATTTTACTGAGTGACATCATTGGCATGTAGCTGTTTGGGATCTTGAGACTCTGTTATTTTGCTTGACAGCTGGAAGCCGGGAGGGAGCAGGGTCTGTCACAGTTTAGTTAAAGAGTCCTTGTCACTATTTTGAAATCCCAAACCAAATCTATTTCTGCACAGAAAAGGGTTAATATTTACCACCCTGGCCGCCAATACCCGCTGTCTTTAGGAGGGGAACACATGACAACAGGTATTTTATCTTGTGTCACTTCAACACAGAAGTGTGAATGGGCCCCAAACATTTTCAGTGCCACCATTGCCCCTTGCAGTTGATGCACCCACAGCATAGGTGTAGGTACATGTTCTACAGGGGCGACATAGGGAGCAGGACACACCATGGCTGTCTATTGTGGGACTGTCGTTTCTGCTGGTCCCCTGTTTAGCTAATCTCAAGAAGGAGGACCAGCATTAGGATGTCAGCCCTCTGAATATTTTAGACCTCATTCTGATTAATAAGCTGTACGTGTGGGGCAGTACCTAGCGGGAGGGTGACAACACTGCTTCTCTTTAGGGAACTGTATGGGAAGCGCTGTCACCTTTACACTGGAAGTGGAAAGACAAGCTGTGCATGGCAGGATCAACAGATTGAAAGAAGACAAAGTAAAGCCAAGTTCACACTTATGTGTTGCGGTAACACATGGGAAAATGCAGTTTTCAACTCGCATTACAGCAGTGCACGGGAACACACATACGTTGCAGTGACACCCCAATACTCTAAAGTAGCGACCTGCTATGTGTAAATTGGGTGTAAGGGGAAGATTTACCTAAAGAATAGGCAACATGAAACAAGTCCCAGATAAGGGAACATTTAATGAGTTTGAAAATGTTTAGAACGGGGGTAGGCAAACTCCGGCCCACCAGCTGAGGCGATAATACAAATCCCAACATGTCATGGCTGTGAGAATCTTGCAATGCCTCATGGGATTTGTAGTTCCACAACAGCTTGAGGGCAGGAGTTGGCCCTTTTCCTGGCTTAGAATAAGTGTATGTTTTAGGACAACTTACCAGCCTCCAAATGCAAACATCCCCGAATAAAAGGCCAGGGGTAACTTATCCAGAGCCAGGGAGGAGGTATCAAACACATCTTGGAAGTTATCTGTGTGTCCTGGCAGTATGAGATGAAACATGGAGACGGAGAGCTCAATCCATCATGAAAACTAGACTTGTTTTATATCAAGTCATTTTTATTGAACAATTTTCTGAGAACAAAGTACATTGACAAGGCTTAGCAAGATAAACATAATCAAAATACAGTTGTGATAATAAAAAAAAGAGGCAGAGGGAGAAGGGGGGTAGTAGGGAAACAACAGAGGCAGAGGGGGGTTTTGAGCTCACTCCATGGAAAACTATGGCCATAGTGGCGGGGAAAGTGGGTGTGGAGCCTGAGGGGCAATAAGTCTTAGCGGCAGAGGGGGGTTTTGAGCTCACTCCATGGAAAACTATGGCCATAGTGGCGGGGAAAGTGGGTGTGGAGCCTGAGGGGCAATAAGTCTTAGCGGCAGAGGGGGGTTTTGAGCTCACTCCATGGAAAACTATGGCCATAGTGGCGGGGAAAGTGGGTGTGGAGCCTGAGGGGCAATAAGTCTTAGCGGCAGAGGGGGGTTTTGAGCTCACTCCATGGAAAACTATGGCCATAGTGGCGGGGAAAGTGGGTGTGGAGCCCGAGGGGCAATAAGTCTTAGCGGCAGAGGAGGTTTTTGAGCTCACTCCATGGAAAACTATGGCCATAGTGGCGGGGAAAGTGGGTGTGGAGCCCGAGGGGCAATAAGTCTTAGCGGCAGAGGAGGTTTTTGAGCTCACTCCATGGAAAACTATGGCCATAGTGGCGGGGAAAGTGGGTGTGGAGCCCGAGGGGCAATAAGTCTTAGCGGCAGAGGAGGTTTTTGAGCTCACTCCATGGAAAACTATAGTAAGGACCAACTATGCAAGGACATGGAAGGGGGGTATAGAGAAGAGAGAGCAGAAAATAAAGGAATTGTGGTAGGATATAAAAGTAAATAAAGAGTAAAAGGATGTAGAGAGAAAAAGGGTTGAAAAAGACAAGATAGAACATCGAAAATAGAACACTAGGACCGTAGGGAGCGAGATCTTTGAATCAAGGACCTTAATCACATATGAAATTATATACATTTATATGAGTTTATAGGAAATTGATAAGTGCAAATAATAATTTTAGCTGGTATCACAGGGATCCCTCTACGGGGGAGCACCCCCCCTGAAATGATGGCAGATTGAAAGAAGCTAACCTGCTTCCCTTGCTATCTGCTGTTTTTTTTAGTATTCCGACAGCTGCTGCCGTTAGAATAAAAAAAAAAAAAACGGCATAGGAATGAATAGCTAGATTGCTATTGGCTATTTCAGTTTGAAATAGCCAATAGAAAGCTGGCTATTGCACCCACCCTCTACTGCTGTCAGTGAACAGAGGAGGACCTGATGGAGAACTTCAGGTCCACCTCTGCTGATTGATAGCAGAGGGCAGGTGCAATAGCTAGTCTGCTATTGGCTATTGCAAATTGAAATTGTCAATAGCAATCTAGCTATTCATTCCTATGCCGTTTTTTGTTTTTGTTTTCTGACTGACGGCGGACAGCGGCCCCGATGTCAAGAAAAAAGAAAAAAAAACAACAACAGACAGCAGGGAAAGGGTTACTCTGCTAGATCGCGCAGAGTAAACCTTTCCGGGAGAAAATGTTTCTCCCGGGTGTCCAGGAGCCGCTATCTAATAGTGGGAGACCCCGGGAGCGTCCGGGAGAGTTGAGATGTCTGGTAGCATTCACATTGTGTGTTCAGGTACATTCGGTTTATCTGTGATCAGGGAAAATAGAATTCTGTCCGTCCAGGAGCAGATTAGATTCCCTAACCACATCTAAACAGATGTAAACGCACGTACATTTACACGCAGGATAAAGTGATCCAGGAGGTTCATATTTCATAATATGTAAATCACAAAGCAATAGTGATATGGGGCCTTTAAGGTGTCACATCTATCAAACACAAACGCAGGAGGCCGTGTGGATGGGGGCTGAGTAGCTGTACCGCAGGTGTCAAAGACCAGCTTTTACTTGATCACTGAAGTCACAATAATTCATGTACAGAACAGATAATAACGGTCACCCCATTCTACCTACCTGCGCCTAACGCCATCATTCCGGGCACTATGATGAGTACAATAGCCACTAACTTCAGTACGGTGAACACAGTCTGGAGATTTGCTGACCAGCTCACACTCCAACAGTTCAGTGCGATGAGAAACGCTACATGGATATAAGGAGGTTGCATCAGAAAATGCGTACTGTATACGAGCAGCGTTGCCACCCTAGGACAGAACTACAAAACACATTCTCCTCTACTCTCCTTCACAACATGGGGAGGTATTGTGTAGTCCACAGAGATATCTGGGAACAATGTAACTGATAAAGAGGGACGAGAACACAGAAAGTTACCAGCTTTTGGCAGGATCAACAGGTATATTTTTTACTTCTTGGACAGATATAACAAAACGCTTTTTACTATATAAATAAGAGAAGTTAATTGTTACGGATTACATTTACATTTACGTCTAACTCCTTCTTTGAGTCAAATTTTACAGCTACAGCACAAAATACCACCAATGATATGAGTCAGCATGTTGGCATTACCAAATAGTTTCTGACTTTGACTACAAAAGTCTTTCTGGCCAGTGATACAAAAAGGCTCCAACGTTACCCGAATGCAGGGCTTGGTAACTCCTGGCCTCCAGCTGTTGCGGAACTACAAGTCCCATGAGCCAATGCAAGTGTGACAGTTACAGGCAGGACTCCCAGAGGCAGAGGCATGTTGGGATTTGTAGTTAAAGCAAAGCTGGCAGGCCGGAGTTTCCCAGCCCTGCCCTAAAGCCTAGGCAAGGGACCACATGACACATCTCTGGCTACCAGGAGCATTGTGGATGTTTCATATCATAAGAGATAACAGAAATACTGTCTAGTAGATCTGCAGCAACGTTGGATCAGAACACGTGAAGCTGTACACGTGTATGTAATAAGCGATACTATAAGAGCCCCATTGTGTGCTGCACCAATATTTATAAAACACGTGGCTTACCAATGCCAATGGCGCTGATGAGTTTCACCACCAAGGCTGGGGTGTGGCAGGGGACGAACAGCGGTTCTATCAGGTACTGTCCAAACGCCAGACAGACCATGGCGATATTTGCCGGCCTAGAAACACACATCAGAATTATTCATATATGGAACTGCAAGACATGACTCTAATAGGCTGAAATGATCTAAATGTCTGAAAGAAGAACTGTCTGTGTCACCTATGGAAACCAATTTCCTGACTTCCGGTTCCGGCGCCTGATGTAGCGGTCACAAGGAACAGAGCACCCGCACGGCCAGGGCTATATATCATATAAAACCTTACCACAGCATACCGAAGATACCCTGTTGATCTCGTCGGTATAGACACCATACTTGCCGGCTTTCATGGATAAATTCCTGGCGAAACGGACCTTGAGGCAGAGGCACCCCGACACGTGGCAAACGGCTGCAACCCTCCTCTAAGATGGCCACAATATCTGATCGCCCGGGCATCAGTGCCTCATCGGATGATGACATGCCTATGCCGTCCGAACATGGCCTGATAGCAGCCGAAGTGGCTAAGCTTCTGCGGCCCACTATCCAAGACGCGGTGCACAAAGCGGTCTCCAAAGTCATACAATCCTTACGCCATGACCTCCTGAACCAGGCCCAGAGAATCTCTGAGGCGGAACAACGCATTGTGTTGCTGGAAGAGGGAACCGAGTCCTCCTCTCAGCTAAACTCTGCTCACCGTCACATACAACATCTCCTGGATCGAGTGGACGACCTAGAAAACCGGTCCCGGCGCAATAACCCGAGGATCATCGGCCTCCCAAAGTCCTATCGCCCCCCGATGCTGCCAACTATCTGCGCATATAATATCCCGGATCTACTTGGCCTCCCTGCTTCCTGCAAGGTTGAGCGGGCACATCGAGTGGGCCCCCTGAACTCCGAACGCAAAACTCCTAGGCCGGTCATTGTACGCTTCCTACACTATAATGACCGCCTGGCAGTCCTTCAAGCCTTCCGTGCCAAGAAAGAACTCCACCTGGAAGAAAGTCGCCTTCTCATCTTTGCAGATTACTCGGCCGAAGTCACGAAAAAGCGGAAGGCATTCGGCAAGGCCTGCTCACTTCTATATCAACAGAAGATCCGATTTACATTAGCCTAGCCGGCTAATCTTCGCTTTCAATCTACAGACGGAATACAACGCTCGTTCCATGACCCTGCTTTCTGGATCGCATGGCGAACACGGCATCATCCGCAGAAGGTATCCGCTCTCCCCGGCCTATGCGTCCGGCCACCCCTGCTAGAAAGGCTTCGATTCGCCTCCCGATGACCCCTACAGATTCCCCTTGATCTTACCTCCTGCTCTTGCTCGATGCTGGAGGCTTCCGGCACTGCTTCAACCACCTCTCTGCTTTCTTGCATACCAGCGTTGACTGGGCCCCGACCCCCCTGCCCTCCCGAGGCCTATGCTGCGGATCAGATGCCTCGTTTGGGTCATTATCCAGGGGCCTAACCGCTGCGCATGTAAGTACCACTAGCTCCGTTTCACCAACAAATGCACGCCCATGGCCCCCTATCATCCTCCAGATGGGACGCGTGGTACGCAGATATTGATCACATTGATACGGGTTTCTTTATTTCCTATCGGTTTTGGATTTTCTTTTCTACATGGACCCTTTTTTATACACATCCCTGCTGGGCCCCCAATGCCCAATTGTTAAGGCTGTATACCCTGGCCTAGCGGAACAAGCTCTGCTACGCTCTCAAGGAAGAAAGCAAAGTCACGTACTGAACGTTCCTTGTTTTTCTTTTTCGAACTGTTCGGCCCTGTTGGCCCGAAGTTGGTTAAACCTACGCTCCATGGGGGAACACGGGAAGGTACCTGTACCTGGCTCATCATACTCCTCTTACTCCTGCTAAACTTCCCTCTCAACGAATATTCTTGCTATACTTTTGTCCAAACACTGCTAAATGCTTCATTAATCTGTGCAAATGTATCCTTGATAAGTGATATGCTTTATATGGCTATTTGTGCCCCTATACTGATAGAAATGTCTACTTTTTCTCTGACCATTTGTGTGTCCTCATGTCTCAGAGCATCTGAGTGATCTCCTGGAATGCCAACGGCCTACGCTCCCCAGCTAAGCATATGATGTTACTCCGCCAACTCCAAAAATTCAAACCAGATGTAGTCCTTCTGCAAGAGACCCATCTTCCATAGGCAGATGTGGATCGCTTGCGCAAACTGTGGGTAGGTGAGGTTGTGAGCTCTCCTGCTGTGGGGAGGAAGGCTGGGGTAGCCTTATTATTCCATAAATCTCTTGACTATAACATAGTGCAGACTGATAGAGACTCTGAGGGCCGTAAACTATTTGTAAAAAGCAATGTCCACAACAAGCTCCTCTCACTGTATAATTTTCATTTCCCTAACTCACCTACGGCCGCATATTTCCAGGAGATCACTTCATGGATCCTTCGTGACGTCAACCCTCACAAGCTAATGGGAGGTGATTTTAACTCAGTCATGGTGTTAGGTGAGGACAGATAGGGAGCGACCAAGAGAATGTCAGATTTGACTCCCCCTCCGCCCACACCTCTGTTCCAACTGTCAAAGGCGGTAAATCTTGTGGATGTTTGGAGGATTTGCAACCCCCTCGAGAGGGAATATACACATTTCTCAAACATGCACAAATCCTTCGCCAGACTGGATTATTTTTTGGCATCGGACACAGTAGACACATTGATTGACGATGTACGCCTATTGCCTATAGCCATATCAGACCAAGCCCCAATCCTAATACAAATGCATTCCTCTTTGCCAAGAGGGGGTGCATTTCTATGGCGATTCCCCTCCCATCTCTACAATGATGCCTCTTTTAGGTCTATGTTGATAGAGGCCTGGCAGGAATATCAGTCGTTTAACAATGAACATGCTGACAACCCAAATCTTTTCTGGGAGATGGCAAAGTTCTCAGGGGTAAAATTATGTCCTACGTTGGTGCCAAAAAAAAACATGCTAAAGCCCAATTCCGTGAGGCCAGCCTCTCTTTACGCCAAGCCCAACTAAATTATTTGACATGCCCCTCCTTGGGGAACAGCGACCTCTGGTGGAAGGCTAAACAAAATTTTGAATGGTGGACTGCTCAACAACAAGCTTTTTATCAGTCCCATTCAAAATTACATTTTCAGAAATTCTGGAATAAACCAGGTAAATGAATGGCGAATCTGAGGAAACCACGATTCCTTAAATCACGCATACCCTCCCTACGTTCAGAGTCAGGAGACCTCTTCACTGACCCTAAACAAATTAACGCCACTCTGGAAAGGTCTTATGCCAAGCTGTACTCAACTTCTCTAGCCGATACAGACTTGGGTGATCTATTTCTGAACTCTATGCCTCTCCCAACAATATCAGAGGCAGGTCACTAGACGAAATTTTGAGTGCCCTTAAATCCACGGTTAATGGCAAGTTCCCAGGCTTAGACAGATACACTAACGAACTCTATAAGATACTGCGAGAGCAGGTAGCGCCTACCCTTCATGGGGTTTTCAATACCATATGGCAGGGCGGTGCATACTTAAACACAGGTCAAGAGGCTTACATTAAAGTGATCCCCAAAAAAGGCAGACACCCCACGCTTCCGGACTCTTACCGCCCGATCTCTCTCATAAACACGGATGCCAAGCTACTGTCCAAAATCATTGCGGACAGACTTGCCTGGATTTTGCCACAACTGATATCCCCTGCCCAGGTTGGCTTTGTTAAGGGGCGTTCAGCCGTGGCCAACATCCGCAAATTACTGACAACGTTGGAATACGCTAAAAGCCACCCAGCCTCCCCTCTGGTTTTGATCTCAATTGATGCCAAGAAGGTTTTTGATAGCATCCAGTCCTCCTGGCTCCTTAGAGTCCTGGAGAAGATGGGGTTCTCGGGACAATTTCAGTCCTTTATCACAGCGCTCTATGCATCCCCACGTGGTCGAGTAATTACCCCTGGATATATCTCACCAAGCTTTTGCTGAATAAGGGCACCAGACAGGGATGTCCCCTATCCCCCCTACTGTTCAATATCTCTTTAGAACCATTGCCACTATATTTTCAAAACACAACAGAACTCTTTGGAATCCCCTTCATCACCCAACAATTTAAAATTATGCTTTTTGCAGATTATATTATCCTATTCTTCTCCAAACCCTCTCAAGACCTTCCCCTGATCCAAGATGTTTTCGCTCATTTTCAAAAATTCTCTGGCCTAACCATCAACATATCTAAATCAGAAGTCTTTCCACTCACCCCATCTGCCACTATCTCCCTACTACCCCTTAAAACAGCAGCATTCATCTTATCAAAGTGATTCCCTTTGCCAGACTTTTATATCCTCTACAGACGCTTCCTATTTTGCTGAAGCACAAGGATGTGACTACTATTAATAAGGCATTCCTGAATTTCATCTGGCAAGGGAAGAAAGCGAGAATTTCCCTTAAAAAACGTAACCTGCCCAAGAACAAAGGAGACATGGCCTTTCCAAACATCAGACTTTACAAATTAAGCTGCCTCCTCCGCCACTCCTTAGATTGGACTTGTTCTCCCTCACACTATACCAACTTCCTTTTAGAGACAGAGATGGTTCATCCCTGGAGGCTCCCATCCCTTCTTCATTGCCCTTTTTCTGCCTTACCTCCCCCTATTCGCTCCAACATACTCATTCGAGACACCATCATTGCTTGGAGGGAAACGCACAAATTGCTGAGAATGAACCCTTACTTCTCCAAACATTTACCGCTCAAGGGAAATCCCTCCTTTCCGCAGGGAGAAGACTATGATGTCTTCACTCAATGGGAAACAAAGGTAATATCCCGCTTCACTGATTTTATAAACACGGCGGGCAATAAGCTACTTACGTTCCCTGAATTTCAATCTCTATATCATGTTCCCGGAAAGGACTTCCTGTACTTCCTGCAAACCATTGCAGTGGCGGAACTAGGG